GGGGGGTAAAAAAGGGAATTTTTGTTCTTTTTCAAGGTTGAGTGAAAATTTTCACCTACTATCCACGTGTAATTTGTTCCCGCCATCCGAAATTGTTTTCAAAATGGAAAATTCCAGTACGAGGACCCGTACGGGGGCTACTGTCTGTACTATCTGTACCATAGAAATGAAGCACTGTAGCTTGCCCAGAGTGATAGGCAGCAAGGGGGTAACAGAGAGAGAGAGAGAGAGAGAGAGAGGAATGATAGCAAATACACGAAGAGACGAATCGAGGTTGCGAAATCCCGAAAACCAAATGGAAATAGCTGGCAAATAAAGCCGTCGCTTTTCGAGAGCCGATGTCATTATTGGGAGAGTTATCGCGAAATTTGAAAACGTACTGTGTAGTGCGCGTACTTGGTCCGTATAACGAAGAGCTACTGGGAGGGGAGAGAGAGAGAGAGAGAGAGAGAGAGAGAGAGAGAGAGAGAGAGAGAGAGAGAAAGAAAGAAAATTCTGCGTCCTGGACCGTTCGAGCATCGCACCTTAGAGCAATCGCGAACCGAGTATATATTATCCTCCGACGGTACACGAGGGTGCCTTGAGATTTTCAATTGAATGCGTCACAGGACGTCCTGGGCTTGGCGCACGTTTCTCCCTTGCCTACCTCTGGCAAGATTCCTATTGGCCCGCGAGAGAGTCGCTAATATTTTCTCAAATTTTTCAATCACGAAAATCATTCTCCTTCGACTACCACAAGAATGACCTTGGGAGTACGAAGCTATTCAGAGATAAATTTTTTATTTTTTCATAACACTTACAACCCGTTCGCTTCACTTTCCCATAGTGCCTTCGACATAACTTCTACCGTGACTCGGACAAACATCTCAGGTCGAAAATATTTTGTCCGTCAGCCCCAAACTTCCGGGCTCACTATTCCACCCAGATATCTATCCTGATCCTCTTCTTTTGGACACCCGTTATTCTTACGCATTCTTATCGTCTTTCCATGTGATTTCAATAAGTTTGGATTTTTTACTCGACTCCCATTGTCGCTCGGATATATCGACGCGGTCGTTAGTTCCTCCGTCTCCACTGTGTATGGTTTATTTGGATTAAAGCGGATCTCGCGTTGTGCGCCCGCCCCGAAATAAAGGGAATGCCGCGATATTAAACCCCGTGGAAACTCTCTGTCCCGTTCTGCGCAGCACGCCCAATCCTTTTTCTATGGCACCCATGGGCATCCCCATTGCCAACCGGGAAGGACGAAAGAAAATTATTGTGGTCCTATACCGATTCGAGCGAAATAGGTTCCCACTGCGAGCTACATTATTACACCGGCCGTTTACATCGTCGTTATGCAGAAACGTCATTAATGACGTCACGCGTCTATTTCGTAATGAAAATTTTCACGATTTTTGTATAAAACATTTTAACGCTAACAAACATTTTCTTTCGACCCTTATCACGATAGCTTAGTACCATCTTACGCTGTAGACGAATATAACTTTACGTCTTTTTTCTTCTTCTTTCACTTTTTCCCATGAAAAAAATAAATTCTCTCTCTCTCTCTCTCTCGCTCTCCTCCACACTCCGACAATGAAACAGGGAACCGCAGTTCTTTAACTCCGACTGTCGCACCTGTCCGTTTTTCTCGCAGTCTACATTATTTCTTTATTTCCTCGACCTTAACGATATCCACATGGCCTCTTGCATTCCATCTACTTTTTACCTCCCGTTCACTCTCCCTAATTATCTCACTCACCCTTGCAAAATCGAGTTATCTGTATCATTTCAAAGTCGTACCAATTAAATCTGCATCCTTAAGATAAAATACTTAAGATCTTTTCATCTTAGAGATAAGATAAAATATATATATTTAATGGCATTATATCCCCACCTCGTGTCCTGCTTCCGCCTCTTTACTCTCGGAACCGATAACGATTTCATCCGTGAACCGTATATCTGTGAATTGGTCCAGGAAGAGGAAGAGACCAAGGCTGAGAGAAGTCAGCAGGGGAAGAAACGATGGAGGGAAGGATGGACCAGGGATGAAGGTGCAGAGAGAACGCAGTGGCCACGTAAGCCCCTTGATGGCTTAAACCTCGTTTAAATGTTCGCTTGACTACTAACCATCGTTCAGACCCAGAGAACCACCCCCTGCCCCCCCCCCCTACCACGTCAATTAAAAAGGCGTCGGTTGGCGTCCCAAGAAATTGCATCACGTACCATACCCATTAATACAAGATGAAACTTATCCAATTGACGGTGTAAGAAAATACGGTCAAGTTAAAAAACAGGTCCCGGTCAGCTGTCAATAGGATAAAAATAAAAAATAATAATGGCTATTTATAATTCCGAATAAAAAAATTAATCTAAAAATAATTGACAAATTACGTAAGACATAAACCCATTATATACCCATACAGTCACTGTATACATATACGCATACTTAACCCCGCTCCTTCAAGATATGCCATAATATTCGCAGAAAATTGCACGTTTACGTACAAATTACTTGTCTGTGCAAAAAACATGAAATAAAAGGATAAGACACAATCGATTAATGAAGTGTCTACAGGCTGGGACGGATAGACACGTTTCCCCATTACGGAAATCAAATAAATAGCTGCCAACCATTTCTTACGGACAATAGCGAATCTCGGGCGTCGGCGTCTTACAAGGATAACAAGACTGGTGCGTGTCCGAGATCAGTGAGAAAACTGCTAAGAGGAGCCGGGAGCATCGATATCACGCCGTCATTAAGAGTTATTATAGGTAATCAACGATTAACCTGGAATCTATGTATTTTACTCATAGCGACTTCTCGATTAGTCCCCATAGTAATTACAGTGACATTCAGACAACATCTGACACTCCGTTTAGCCATCTTCCACTTTATGATCATATATATATATATATATAAACATTGCAAGCCTTTCCAGTTTCTTGCCATTCCCATATCTCTTTCCTGCCATCACAACGAACATAGCTATTATCGAACGCGATATTTATCCCAATACTCCAATTACATTAGTCCAATTATAATTCCTGGTTAATAAAAGAAAGAAATTATCTCTCATTCATCCACATTGTGTCACGTATACAGCGAACGGTCTGCACGACCTTTCTACAGTGTTTAAATGCACCTTCAATGGTACGATACAAGAAAATCTGTATGGATCAAAAAGAACGAACTTGAGGTTTATGGTGGTTATGTAATTTTCTATGGAACGGCGGAATCGTCGATCGGCCTACAGGCCACCTGTAGCACCGGCTATGCGGCCAACTTGTTGTGATACCGCTTAGAGATCGGAAAGGGATTCATCAATGAAGTTTACTATTTTTCCGATATATATAACTATATATATCGCTCTCTGTATGGTATAGGTACGGGACGGGTATCTTCTATAGTGTATGCTAGTCAATATATGTATATATAATATATATGTATATACCGGTGGTGTACGCCGTACGGATCTCCACCAGCCCCGTTATGAATGGCCTACGTCGGTTGACGTTAATCTGGCACTTCATCTCCCTCATCCAACCCCAGTAGGTATCTACGTCGCCCCGTACTAGCCCGGCTACCTCCACAGCCTCCAACCCCCGACCCGGGGTGGGCTCACGTATATTCACAGTGCATCCCCACCACTTGCAGATTCGCCCCTTAACCAATTGTTTCATCGAAAAAAATAAAGTGGTTCGAAGTTACAAAAAATTTTAAACCCTCTGCCGCGCGATGTATTAATACATATATGTAGATACGTAATATTCTGCCGTACCTGTATGTCATCGTGTATGCATTTTTCATACGTGACACGTACGGCTAGTGGACTTCTTTTTGGGGGCTGAGAATACCTGTGTATATCTGCAGTATATGGAGACTGATAAGGTTAAGGGTGGGTAACTGGTGTATGCTGACGAGTCGTACTGAAAGGGGTTGCACTTTGACTTTAATTCCCCTTTTTTTTGTATATTTAATTAAATGTCTTTGCATTAGGATTTTTTTGGCATTTTTGTGTAATCGACTTTGCGTGTATCGGGGACTGTGTTTTTTTCATTCCTTGATTTTCGAGCGGATGTAGGAGTTTTTTCGGGAGGGGGGGGAGGGGGG